AAGTCAAGAACTTACGGTGTGATTATTAATTCATAGTGATGAATATTTGTGTCGTTTACTGAATTTAAAGCTCTAAATGCTGATGGTATTAGTATAACACCATATTCGATGGTCGTAGGAAAATATTTTGCTGCTAGACCGTTTACCTTTTTGCGATCCTGCCACTTTTGATATAAGTTTTCGAGAGTATGCCGGTTTTTCAACACAACTAAACAACTTTAAGGAAGAACTTCATAGATTCCTCGATAGAAAATGAACTAAACATCAAATATTTTAACAGGTTAATTGCTAAAATTATTGATTACAAAATTTGTTGATGAGTAATATTAACATAATAAAAAAAATAATAAATGATTCGGCGAAACCAAATTATTTAATTTCACATAATATTATATCCGGAAAATACACTTTCTTATCGTTCTGTAAATTTATCAAAAAAAAAAAATTTTTTTTTTGCAAAATTCAACAAATAAATTTGATGAGTTTAATATATCTTTCTAAAGGACTAAGTGCTTGCGCTTATACAGTTATATATCTGTTTCTCCTGGACACCGCGTAGAGGTGGCAAGCTTCGCTAAGGTTAAAATAATTTATTTACGCTATGGAGACCTATTTGAGGTGAAATAAACGAAAGTGCATGCGATTATAATAAGGTTATAAAAACAATATAGGAAATTTCACAAGGCATCATCAAATTACAAAAATACGAATTCTACATTAAAAAAAATTCTAAACTACAAAATTCGAATGAAATTGCCATAGGAGATTATTTTAAATGCAAAAGAGAAAAACCAAAGTAGCCGACTTCATATAATATGTACGATACACTGCTATAACGTAGTCATGTTTATCAAAATATCAAGGGGATTTTTTTTTATTTGTTTAAAAAGGTAATTTTAATGAATATACCGTGACAACAAAGAAATGTTCAGCTAAAAACGAAAAGGGTAGGAATAAAAACTATAGTCAATAGTAACATATATGCCAGGAGGATCAAAAACCACAGGCTCTGTCCACCTAGAATAAGGACGGATACGCGAGCTAAAAGAGGAACTGAAGCTACACTGTAGTAATAACGGGACGGGAGGAAAGAGGGAATAGAAGAAGGTACAGCTGACGAAGTGGGGCAAGGATCCAAGTAAATGTGATAAGGGTAAATGTAAAAGGAAAGCGTAGTGGCATACGTCTACGTACTTGTCGCATTAGTTGTGACATATTTTTTAATAATTTCCTAAAATGCAATTAAATAAATATTTTGAGCTTTTCCTTCCAATTAATTTACACAATATGATCATTTTTTGGTAATTTTGGCGCTATTACGCAATTATTACACCTTATAATCTGTAAAAATGTTAAAATAATAAAAATAGAACGAATGACGTGAGACCATTTAGACGATGTTTCAGTTATGAGATCGAATGTTATCATGACTGGTAGACGTGATTGATGAAATTGAGAATTGGAATGATGTAGAAAGGATAGATGATTTTTGTATGATGAAACTATTTTTACCCAACGGAAACGTATTATTCCTGTTCAAGATCAAAATACTATTCGCAGAATCCTTCTAAATTATTTATAATGAGGTAAATGTATAGTTAATTTAAAATATATTCGTGACAATTATTGACACATTTTTTTATCTATTAGCTAAAGGTTCAACATCAGTTGTAGATTTTTTGATTGTTTGGCGTTTTGGTTC